CAGGCTTCGCTTTCGTTTCTACGTCCGAATATCTGTGAAAAGAAGGATTCTCGCACTCTTCGCACCTTACGGCCCCACTAAGCTCGGGGATTTCCGCAGTGCGTCGCACCATTATCCGTCCATCCGAATCCATCCGCCATGTTGGTTTTCCTACGGCAATTAAATAATCCTGGGATTTCTCAAAATATGCCAAATTCACGATTAACGTCTTACTTCCATTGGTTCGCCTGAATTCGGAATTTTGGAAATTTTGCAAAATTTAAAATTTAAAAATAAAATTAGTTTGGCTGAATTCGGAATTTTGCAAATTTTCCAAAAATTTACTTAACTCGTTCGTCAGAGTGAAAAGCACGTGTCGCACGGATAAAATCGCATAAAGATTAGACTTTTTACCCTAAACCGGAAGTAATCAATTATCATGAGAAAAAAAAAATAAAAATATTTTAGTTAATTAATTAATAACATTTTTCTTGGTTTCGTCTTTTTTTTTTCTCTTCATCCGAAACAACACGTGTTTCCAAGGAGCGAATCATGGGTTTGATAACAAATAATAATAAGAATTACTATCCGGCCCAGGACATGGGCAATGGACGGTCATGCTGGTATAGCTAGGGGGCAGATCGCGGGAGGTTCTCTCTCTTTTTTCTTTTTTTTTTCTTTCTTTCTTTTACTAACGTCGATTTTGTTATCGCGCCTGGCCAGGAGTCCGGCAACAAGACCGGATGTCCGCCCGCGCAGGATGTGACGTCAGTACTTCGGAACACCCAACCAACGGCATCGTCGCCCTGCGCAACAGCGCAAACATTCCGACGTCTTGGCGTCGCCTGTATATACGCGTGTACGTTTCCTCCAGGTACACGTGCCTCCCTTTTCCCTTGGGCGAGTCCCAAAATATCTGTCAATCTGTGGGACGTATTGGGTCCGTTTGAAAAAAATAATTTTTCTACGTTCAAAAATCACTGGGGGTTGTCCTTTCCAAAATTGAGATCAGGCTGGTTAATATATGTATATATAAAATTTGCTTGGGTCACCCTTTATAAAATTTCTAATGACTTTTTATTATTTATCGGCATCAAAAGGCCACGTGATTAATTGATTCCTATGATTTTGCACTTATGAAGTAATTGATTGATTTGCAATTTTTTGGAAAATTTTTTAAAATTATACACCATTTCTCTACCGTACCAGTGTTTGTTATGACTTTTAAGGATCTTAACGGGTATAGGGTGTCATTTGTTTACTTTAACGGGTATTCTGGATTTTGACCCAATTTTCTTGTCTGCTCAGCCGACCGTAGCTCTTTGCTTTTTGGAATCGCGCTCGAAAGCCGCAAAAACAATATGGACGCGTCAAGTGGTTTTGACTTTGTTAATCCGTGCGAAAAGTCAAAAATCACTTCTCCTCGTGCTTTACCACAAGCAAACCTACGAAAATGTACCTTTAGCGTGAATTGGGTCGGTTAGGAAAAATTTTGAAAATTTTTCACGCAACCCAAAAAAAAAAATTTTTTTCCAAATTACCAAATCGCTCCTGCACGCGGTTACGGGGTCGGAATATTCATAAATCTTGAAGCCAATTATAGCCGCAGTCGGTTAACATCCCCATATATTATTATTATATACGAAGCGACAAAAACGTTTAGTGACATAAAATAATATCTGACCGAACTAATAAGGGTTTTCTCTTCCAGCTGCGAGTCTTACAGTCTGAAAACTTTCTTGGGCCTAATATCCCATTACGAGGTATACCGCGTACCGCTTACGACCTATGACCCCAAACCGACTGATTTACTGTTCCCCTTTCACCCCCTTCCCCTCACCCGCCCCTCTTGCGGGACGTCAGGACCCTTTTTTCTACGACGCCTTCTATACCAAGCCCGAGCTGGTGGGGGTACCCGCCCCTTGAATCCTTTTCGACCATTTATCCCAAATGAAGTCATGCACGATTTACAAAACTATCGATTACGTGAAAATCGAATAGTTCTCGATTTACACGAAAATGACCTTTTTTTTAGGGGATCATTTTTTTTTTTTTTCTTTCGTTACTCATTAACCCCGTCCAAGCCACCCTTTGGTGGTGTCCCTCGAAGCGTTATCATTATGATTATCGAGACTGCAAAAGTTGGCATGACCCGAGGGAAATTTTTGAAAAATTCGAGAAAAAACGTCACGTTTTTTTCTCTCTTTATTTTGGGTGGCGCTTAAATTGTCAGAAAAAAAAAATTTTTTTGAGCGCCGAATTTTCCAACCCTCCAGTGTCCTGCTGAGAATCATTCGAGAAACTACACCTCTCCTATTACGCCACGCTGTCTGCGTTACGTTGTTCGCGACTCGAAGCGGCTGAAAACTGTCAAACAGAGAAACTACGACCTGTTGAAGAGGATAAGGGCTGCGCAGGGTCCATGTCCTGGAGAGGAGCCATAAGAAAGGCGATCCTGTCTAAAGTGGGACTGAAGTGAAAAAAGGGTGGGGGGGGGGGAGGGGGGGGAAAAAAAAAAAATTTGGAAAACC